AACCTCTAGCCCCCACAGCCTCTCCCAGAGCTGGGGATAGAACCCTGGAATCCTGATCCCCCTCCCCCCACCCCCACAGCCTCTCCCAGAGCTGGGGATAGAACCCAGGAGTCCTGACCCCCCCCCCACCTCAGAGCTGAGGATAGAACCCAGGAGGCCTGAGCTGGGGATAGACCCCAAACCCAAGCTGGACAAAGTCCCTAGTGGCTGATGTTTTAACCTTATAACACAAGGAGCCCGTGTGTATGTTTGTGCGCATGTGCGTGTTTGTGTGTGTGCGTAATAATACATGTGTGTGATTATATGCTGGGCTGTATGTGCATGCCTGTGCCTGAGTGTGTTGTGTGCATGCAGGGATGTGCCTGGATTCGGGGTGGGGGATGGGTGTATGCAGGGAGGCACATGTTTTTGTGCGTGTATGCATGTGTGTATTCGTGTGTGTGCAGGGATGTGCATGTACTAGTATTCTGTCACTGCATTTGTGTGTATATTCACATGTGCATGTAGGGATGTGCCTGTATTCGGGGGGCTGCATGCAGGAATGTACATATGTTTGTGCATGTGTGTATTTGTGTGTCTATAGGGATGTGCCTGTATTTGGGGGGGGGAGCTACATACAGGAATGTATACATTTGTTTGTGCATGCGTGTAGTCGTGTGTGTCCAGGGATGCGCCTGCATTCAGGGGGGGAAGTACATGCAGGAATGTACGTGTGTTTGTGCATGCGTGTAGTTGTGTGTGTGCAGGGATGTGCCTGTATTCGGGGGGGGGTGCATGCAGGAATGTACGTGTGTGTGCATGCGTGTAGTCATGTGTGTGCAGGGATGTGCCTATATTTGGGGGGGAGAGGTAGATGCAGGAATGTACATGTGTGTGTGCATGTGTGTAGTCGTGTGTGTGCAGGGATGTGCCTGTATTCAGGGGGGACGTACATGCAGGAATGTACATGTGTGTGCATGCGTGTAGTCATAGTCATGTGTGTGCAGGGATCTGCCTATATTCGGGGGGGACGTACATGCAGGAATGTACGTGTGTGTGCATGCGTGTAGTCGTGTGTGTGCAGGGATGCGCCTGTACCAGCGTGTCCGTGGCTGCAGGCGTGTATTCCTAGCTTGTGCGTGTGTTGGGGGTGGGGCTGGGGGCGTTGAGCGCGACGCTCCGTCACCACCCCCCACGATCACGCTATTCAGCTGGTTCAAAGAGGCCCAGGGCTTGATGTAAACACCCCGGTCCAGCCCGGCGCCGCTCCGGCGCCTTATCTCTGGCCAACACACCGTGTTTGTTTCAGCCGGTCCCTCCCCATGTTCTTGCTGTGACCGATCTCACCTGCGTCACGGGGGGGCCGGGGTTTGGAGCCTGTCTCTGATTGAATGCGGGACAGTTTGTTTTTCACAGTAAAAAGCGGGGCCGGGGGTGTTAGGGAAAGCTAACCTCAGCTCTGCCACAGAGTCCCCAGTGACCTCATGGCCTGGCTCTGTGCCTCGGTTTCCCCGTCCGTACAATGGGGATAATGAACCTCATTTTGTCTGGCTTGTGAGTTTAGACCGGGAGTGCTTGGGGCAAGGACCGTCTCACTGGGTCTGTGCAGTGCCCGGCACGAGGGGGCCCCGATCCTGGTCGGGGTCTGGGTAGCGCCGGGCAAAAGGGGGCCCCCGATCTCGGTCAGGGTATGCGCAGCGCCTGGCACGAGGGGGGCCCCGATCTCGGTCGGGGTATGCGCAGCGTCTGGCACGAGGGGGGCCCCGATCTCGGTCGGGGTATGCGCAGCGTCTGGCACGAGGGGGGCCCCTGATCTCGGTCGGGGTATGCGCAGCGCCTGGCACGAGGGGGGCCCCGATCTCGGTCGGGGTATGCGCAGCGCCTGGCACGAGGGGGGCCCCGATCTCGGTCGGGGTATGCGCAGCGCTGGAACAAGGGGGGCCCCGATCTGGGTTGGCGCCTCTAGGGCTCTTGCAATGCACCAAACCAGCAATCCCAATGTGCCGGCATCACAACGCCCTGTTTTATCTGCTGTCCGGTCCCAACGTCCCCTGGGAGGGTTTGATTATCTTGCTGCTGCGGGGAAGGGACCTGCCCTCCTTCCAGCCAGACGGTTGGGGAATGGAGGCGGGGGGAGGCTAAACCCCCTTTAACACCCTCTTTCCAGCACCCGCTGTGTCTGGGGTGCATCCCCCCCCGATTGGCCCAGGTCCTGCGACTTGGGGCCTGAGTGTCCCTGTGTGCGGCATGGGGAGGGGGCCAGCTGCCATCTCCCGCTCGATCCCCCCGCTGCAAAGCGCAGGATCGGCCCTGCTAGAGCCCACGGGGGACGGGGGGATTCACTGCCTCGTCTGATCAACTCCCCAGCTGTGCATCCTGGGTGATGGGGATCCGCTCCCCTCTGGATCCCACTGGCCACAGATCCACAGCCCCCCATTGGATCCCACCAGGCAGAACCCCCTGGATCCCACGGGGCAGTGATCCGCTCCCCCTGGATCCCACTGGGCAGTGATCCGCTCCCCCCTGCATCTCACAGGGCAGTGATCCGCTCCCCAAGGCACCGGAGGGGGCAGTGATCCGCTCCCCCTGGATCCCACGGGGCAGTGATCCGCTCCCCAAGGCACCAGAGGGGGCAGTGATCCGCTCCC